CCTGTGAATGTTTTCATTCAGGAAGACTCAGACTCAGACTCTCTTAACGGCAGCCTGGCAGAGCCAGATCCAGCTTTTGTGAAAACCAGCATCTCCAACGGTAGCCTTCAATCAAGCTACACGGTACACACACACACACACACACACACACACACACACACACACACACACACACACACACACACACACACACACACACACACACACACACACACACACACACACACACACTCTCGTACTCACTAAACACCCACAACTGATCAGCTGACTATCAGGGGGACGCAAAGATGACTCAGCTCAGGACAGTGACGCAGGAGCTGGTCTCTGTGTGTTCGTTGCAGCTCGGTGGGAGCATGATGAGTCTGTTCAGCTCGGGGGATTTCGGAGCGGTGGAGGTGAGGGGCCGTATCCAGTACTCACTGGTTTACGACAATCACAGGGAGGAGCTCCAGGTGAAAGTGTATCGCTGTGAGGACATTGCTTCAGCACGCAAGAACCGCTCCGACCCGTAAGCGATTGTGTTTTTCATGTGACCAGCTTCAAAACGGTGGTGTCAAGCTCCGAATCAATAAGCAAATGTGTGTGTACTTGTGTGTGTACTTCACAGATATGTAAAGAGCTATCTTTTGCCAGACAAGTCGCATCACAGCAAGAAGAAAACGTCGGTCAAGAAGAAAACATTAAACCCAGTCTATGATCAGACACTTAGAGTGAGATGCTCTCTCCTGCGCACATTGCATTAAGCGGCGACTGTAATCAGTGTCTTTCAAAACCCTTCACAGATTTACTCTGATTATGTTGTTTCAGTATAAAGTTCGCATCGGGGAGCTGCGCAGTCGGACTTTGAACCTCTCTGTGTGGCACGCTGAACCTCTGGGAAGAAATGTGTTTCTAGGGGAGGTGGAGGTGTCTCTGGGGCTCTGGGACTGGACCTGCACTGAACCCCTGTGGCAAGATCTGCAGCCCAGGGTAAGCAATGCCTCATCCTGAAAGAGTTTCAAGCAAATTCTATTCTTCTGCAATGTTGTGGGCAATAAAAATAATGGGGATTTTATTTAAAGGTTCCTGTCTGGACCCTGAAAATCACCAAGCAGCAGCAAAAATAGCGATCTACAATATGGAGAAAAGGGTTGTTAAAAGGGCCAAAGACTAAAGAGTCAACACAACGTGACATATAAATGTCAACAGTACAAAATATAAAATGTTAACGACTTTAAAAGATGTTTTAAGAACTGCTTTGGTTGTACAGTAGGGAGAGAATCAAAGTTGAAAATGTGATAAGACAGATTTTAAGATGCTTGGCCACTTGACTGAGAGCGCCGCAGTCAGTAGCAGCCGGGCCTGCAGGGGGTACAACGAGGGAAGTGGAGGAGGTGGATCGTAGACTGTGAAAAAAAATGATAATGTGCAGAAAATCAGAGTGATGTGGGTGTAAAAGATCAGAGAGAGATGAGAAAATAACAAAGAGCTAGAAACATTTCAGTGTTTTGCAGGAAGCTAATGAAAGACCAGAGTAATTTGCTCATCAAGGAATAATGACCCTGCATCTGCATTTATTTGGCATCCGAGGGAATGTGAAACAGACATTTTAGCAGCTCTGTTGGAGATAAAAGAGGAGGAGTGTGTCTTGTGTCTGGGAGAGCTGAAGGAAGAGGAAGACATGCTGAGAATTTTAAATCAGGTTTTACATAACCTTGGTCTGTCCCAGCCTCCACAAGTCTGCACCTTCATCCATTACTTTGTTCTCATCCTTTGATGTTCTTTTTTTTTTCCTTTCTTGCATACAGGTTCACCTGAGTCCAGAGTCTATCAGCATCAGAGGGAACATCGTGTTGTCTATTAAATTTGCTCCCGAGGGATCTGAGGGTGAGAAGCATAAATCTGAATCGCATCCACGCCACAGATACATGAGTACCGTAACATTCTGTGTGGACATAAACGTTTGGGTGTTTTGTGTTCAGGTGGAGGTCTGCCTTTGACAGGAGAGGTTCACATCTGGCTCAAAGAAGCTCAGGGTCTCCTGTCTAAGAAAGGAGGCGCTATTGACTCCTTTGTGAAAAGGTACGCCTGTTCTTCAGTGTCGACATTTTTTTTTATTTATTTTAATCAATATAGCACAGACCATTGGAAACTCTTGTATAGAATAGCAACTTTATATTATTTTCACACAAATTGAAATACTGAAAAAAAAATCCTTATGTATGACATGATTGTGCTATCAAAATATGTTGCATTTTAAATTCTGCACGAATTTTTAAATGCAGATTAAAGCCATAAGGAATTGTGTAATGCTTTTCCTGTAAGAGTAGTACATAAAATAATTTCTTTTGCCTATACTTTGTAATCCTGCTTTGAAATAAACACTGAAATCAAGTCTCAATTGTCTCTCTCTTCCCTTCAAAACCAAGCTTCATCCTTCCGGACGTCAGTCGACAGAGCGGTCAGAAGACGCGGGTGGTGAAGCACTCCGTCAGTCCGACATACAACCACACCATGGTCTATGACGGCTTTCAAAGCAGCGACCTGAGGGAGGCCTGTGCTGAGCTCACTGTCTGGCACAAAGACGGACTGAAGACGGACAATCTGGGAGGGGTCCGTCTGAGCTGTGGAACCGGTGAGAATCTTTATACATTTATTAGTTTAGCTGCTGGCTTTAGATTAAACCAAACAGCTGCTTCGAGCAAAGGTTCTGGTACTCACAAAGAGGGAAAAAAACCCATTCATTTTGCAGTTGTGATATTGTAGCTAGATTATGTATTGCTAAAAGGTAAAAAGGTTGAAAAAAAAAAGAATCTCATAAAAAGACCTAAGTTTAGCATCTGGGAATGTTTTTGAAAATTTCCCCTCTCATCTTTTGTCCATGCAAAATAATCTTAATGATATAATTTTTCCTGTATTGAAATGACTTTCATCTGAAAGAATCGGTTGTGTGTAAACATCATGATTTATCTTCTGAGGATATCCACAGAATTATTACAAACTGTGCATTTTGCAAATTGTACTTTTGTTTTTTGAGATAATGCTCAATTTGTTTTTTTATGAATCATTTGATGCAAAACTGACAGAAGACAGAAATATGTATAGTATGTGTTTATTTATTTATTTGTGGTCACATATCATGGCTGCACGCTTGTAATTATGTCCACAGCAAAATTTCTTTGTGTCATTTCTCCAGGTCAGAGCTACGGCGAAGTCGTCAGCTGGATGGACTCCACAGAAGACGAAGTCACCGTGTGGACCTCCATGATCGAAAACCCAAACCGCTGGATCGACACGACGCTGCCAATCAGAACTAACCTGACACAGCGGCCTGTGTGACCACAGCATCTTGCACTCAAACGCTCATTTATGTTCCATCTGTTGGACTGATGGGAAAAACCCCTTGTTATCGGCACATGTGATCTCTCTGTTATAATGTACACAGACGCTCACACAGAAAATGAAGTCAGTAGTTGTGCAATATTCTTAAGGTATAGCAATAAGTCATGTGTCTGCAGATGTCTGCATTTTAAAATTTACTTTGTTCACTCAGTATTTAATCTGGTTTAAAAAAAAAAAGCATTTATAATCAATTGCCGTTTATTCATTTAATATTAAATGTAATCTTTAAATTAATGATTGTTCTTGTTCACACTTACATCCGGAAGCTTAAAAATAAAAATATGGTTTTTACTGGATAACAGCAGACACCCAATGTTAATATTCTTTTCCTGTTTGTATTAGGGCTGTTACATTCTTTTCAATCATCTTTGACCCTTAGGAAAAATAAGCTTTTATATTATTTTATTAATGACTCGTTTGTAAATACATTTGAATGATTCTCATCGCCATCTTGTGTCTGAACCTCTTAACTACACTCTTTGTAAGGAAAGGATTTAAATGACTGCATGTTAGTAGGCTAAACAGGAGATAAGGACCTGTAATGTTACACTTGTTTAAATGTCAACCGTAGTTTCTCTATTCTTTTCTAATCAAAGAGACGGTTGATGACAGAATCGCAGTCTGAACCTACGCAGGTGTCGTGCTGCATAGGGGACAGGACTTTTGATGTCATCTGAGACGATATCAGAATAATAATGATAATTTAAAAAATAGCTTTAAAATGACTGCTCTGTAAAAGTGGATGGGTTTTTAACGGGACAATAAATCTCATGTCAGGTTTTTAAACAGAACCATGTCTCACATTTACAGGGTTTGGTTTTGTTACTACATCAGTTCACTTAATCCTATTTTGCTACATTAAAATATGGTGATCCATCAGAAAAGCATATTTGGAGAAAGATATTGGTTTTGGTTTATTAGTTGGAAAAACAATAGTTTATTTGAACTACTTTACCCTCATCTTTACTCTTAAAGCTGTTAAACACATCCTGATCTTTTTACATGTAGTATGTGTCGCCCTTTTTCATAAAGGAATAAACTTAGTGAATTTTTTTAATGGATAAAATAATACTGCTTGTGTTTGTGTAAAATAAGATGGTGACCACTGATGACATACTGGTTTTCTGACTTGAGTTTTTTCCTCTTCAGTATCAAATATTGAACTATTACATGTTGGGATTTGCCAGAATCTGCAATTGAGTAGCTGGTAAGCTTATGACTATCGCTGGCTAAAGAATAAAATAAAGAATAATTGCATCTTTTGTAGCATATGACAACTTTGTCTTATATGTTCTAACGTTTGTAAGCAAGATGTGTGAAGTGAGAGCAAATATGTTTTTGTTTTTTAAATGTGTTTTGAGTCATAAGTGTCTCACTTCCCACCATCTTCCAGATAAATGTTGTTTTGCAAAGCCTGGATCTGGGAGTATTGATTTGAGTGTACGTAAGCTGTGACGTGTTTTTTTTTTTTTTTTTTTTTTTTTTTTTTTTTTTAGTGTAAGAACAAAAAAACAAACAAAAACAAAAAAACATGCATTTTCACTAAAAAACACAGCAGTACCCCAAACATGCCACGCTGCTAAGCTGAAGGCTTTTAATTTGAAATCCCATTTCCGAAACGTGAGCCGCCGTTCCTCGCTGTTGCCATGGATACGCACCAGTCAACAATCCTTCTTCCGCCCGAAACCAACACGGAGTTCTCGCTAAGCGGCGTCAAAGCCAACCAAGAAGCTGTTCAAAAATGATTGAAATGACGGCTAAGAGCAGAAAGGTGCTGCACGCCCAGGTGGAGGCGCTCTCGAGAAAAATTGACCGATGTGAGTTTGGACCCGCCTCGTTTGAAAACGCCGTTTTCTTCTTCGTCTGCTCAGATTTGGCCGACATTTCCCGTACCAATCACACAGTTGCAACTTTCAAAACGTCACAACGTATGAAATTGTATGTATGTATGTATGTATGTTTGCTTTTTCTAGTCAATAAAGTAGAGCTCGAGAAACTGATTCTGATGTTTAACAACCTTATGATGGAGCAGAACAGCCAGGGGCGACCGGCAAACGGCCTGAAAAGAGGCAAGTTTAGAGGCCTGCTGCAGAGCACCTTTGAGATGACCAACGGCCTAATGATGGACGGAGGTACTGATTCTTTTTCCAGGACAAATATCTGATTTTTCTAGGCTTATTTGTTTTTCTTAAATTCAACATTTAGAAATCTTAAACTTGTCTTTGATCATAAACATATTGAATATGTTTCATTTTAGTTAAACGTTGGATATTTTCTTGCCTTTGCTTTTGATAGAAATGACATGTAAACAATCCCGTGAAATTCTTCAACATCTTTTGTTTGTGACAAGTTTTTTTTTCTGTGCTGAAGTTTTCAGGAGTTTTGACAAAGATGGTGACGGTGTCATCATTCTGGAAGAGTGGGTCAGAGGACTTGCTGTTTTTCTTCGTGGGACTCTTGAAGAAAAAATGAAGCGCAAGTTCTCAGATCTGTTTTTCTTAAAACTCATTCTTCTTCCACTAGTCAACCAACGCAATCGTATTTTTAAATCCTTAGTTACCATTATTGCCACTAATCTGACCTGGAAACAATTTGTTGAATGTATAGTAAACTTTATTCGATACCCTAAATTAGTGTAAAAACATTGAGGTAATTAGTTCTAGAATTTTATCCTTCAGAGAGCAGAACAAGTCTGACAAATCAAATATTTTTCCATGTTTTTTTTTTTCATTTTCCCAAACTGAACCAACAATAATAGAAGCAAATTCCAGATGTCTTTAGGTTTGAAGATTATTATGGAACCCTGAACTTTAGGATGTATTGAAACTACCACTCACATTTTAAATTATTCAGTTTTGACAAAGGAACACATAATCTTTAGCATGACATCCAGTTTGAATAAATTACATTATTTCAATATGTATTTATGCCTGCAGTAGACATGTAAATAATTAGGACTAGAACCTGGAAGTATTTAGGATTAAAATGAAATTAGGACTTTTTCTAAAAACTATGGCACTTTTGGTTCTCCACATTTTTCCAGCTGTTAACCTCTTCTTTTTTGTTTGCATTATTCAGACGCCTTTCGAGTGTATGACTTAAATAATGACAAGTACATCTCCAAAGATGAGATTTTTCACATGCTGAAGCACAGCTTCATCAAGTGGCCTAGTGAGGAGGATCCAGAAGAAGGAATTAAAGATGTGCTTGAGATGACAATGAAGAAGATGGTGAGGAGATCATGGTTCAAATATAATGATTTGTTTGGAACTTTTTCATCAAGGCCAGAGATGAGGTTTTGGTGTGATGGTCTCAGAATTTTTTTTTTTTGCAATGTTGATATGCAGATGATTTATCGGTTGCATCCTTCCACCCTTTTAGGACCTGGATCACGATGGCCTGCTGTCTTATGAGGACTTTGAAAAATCAATACTAGATGAGAACCTTTTCCTTCAGGCATTTGGACCCTGTCTCCCAGACAACACGGTAATCGCACAAATTACAGGACGCATAAAGTTTACATTTCTGACATTGTTCTTAATTCCATAAACAGTTTTTTTTTCTTCTTCTTCTTCTTTCAGGTTATTGACAAGTTTGACCAGCTTGTATTTAAGGATCCAGAGCAATGAAACAATTCATATCAGTGTAAACTTTCAACTGTGACTTTAATAAAAGTCTTAGTATCTACTTGCAATGCATAAATAAATGCAAACTGAAAAGAGAGAGATCCAACTTCCAAAGCAGTGGTAGACGCCGGTCCGGTTTATATCCGGCGACGTGGTTTTGCTTTTTTCTTAACTGTTTTAAGGCCTGGAACTGATCCCACCTAAGAATTAGACAGACATACAATGTGACACTATATTTGTTATGTAAAATAAAAATAATCACTGAATAATTACCTGCTTCATTGTGCTCCTGATTAGGGTGACAGTTGTGTTTAATGACTCATCTTCCATGTCCAGTTTTGCTGGTTCCGGTAGTTTAGGTCCAATCAGCGGCTCGTTTTCTCCAGAAACGTTTGCAGCAGGCTCTCCAGACTCTTCTACTTTGCGCTTTCTGCTCTCCAAGTTGGTGATCCTTGGAATGAATCTGACTCCAGAACCAGGATTTGGACCCAGTCTGCCCTCTGTGTCTTGCTCCCTGTCAGAGGTTGTTGGGTTGGAGCTCAAACTGTCCCCTTGCCGCTGTTGTACATTAAAAAAGGCATTATGCAAAGTCCCCATTTTATCCTCTGTTGGTACAAGTCCGTGGTGACTTTTTTGCCTGAATGAACAATGTTCTTGAGGCGGTGATGGCAGCGGAGGAAACTCTGAATAGTGGCTCAGGCTTAAAGCCTCTCCTGTACTTTCATTTTTAGATGTTACATCATGACAGGTGGGAATTTTGTCTGATGAGGTTGGTGCTTCTGACGATACCGAACTCTCTCGTGTGGCTTCTGTTTTTTCTCTTTCTCTTTGGTTTGCTTTGGAATAAGGAAGAAAAAAGAAGTATAAGCAAACAAAACAAAAACCAAAAGTCAGACATTAAAATATTTAAAATCTTATCTTCAGATTAAAATATATTTATCAATGTTATACCTCTAGTCATGCGAGCTGCTCTCGCAATATAACTTCTTCTGTCTTGCAACTTCAGCCTGGTGTCCTCCACCGTTTCATACTCTGGGACATAGCACACATGCAGGACACCGCCGTAGAAACTCTTCTCATCCATGTTGCGTTTTGCTGCCCTGAAACCAGACCATTTAAACAAAACAAAACAAACAAAAATGTTCTTAAATAAATAAATTATTCAGCGGGTGTACTTGACTTTATTTCTGCAGCACCAAAGTGTACCTGGCGCTTGTTAGTTTCTGAAACTTGACGAGGTAAACCTCAGTGAATTCCTCAGCTGGATACTCGTCCAGGGGTCGGTACTCCTCCACGACGCCATACAGAGCGCACAGCTGGATCAGCTCCATCATGACGCCGATGGCCGGAACCCCTTGAACCATCAGATACCGGGACTCTAGATTTATGGTGTACACCTGATAAAAGAAAACAAATGTGCTCAGACTGGCGATTCGAAGGGTCTCTAAAAGAATAAGTGATGGCTTAACTAATATTACTGCCATAAAAACAACAATTGACAGAGGTATTTCTGCTGATAACTTTGTGTATTCGCTTTGTTTATATTTCACTAAACTCGGCCAGATTCATAATACAACCCAAATGTATCACGCAAAAACTGAGGAAATATGTTATTTGAATGATGCGTGCTTCCCATAAATTAGGGTACACTTTCATTTTCAAACTAAATGTACCTTAACTGCTTTGGCCTTTCTCCCTTCTCGGTATTTCGGTCGAGAAATACACACTCTTTGCTGTTCGTGATGTTTGTAGACTTCTGGGGCGCGCCAGCAATCCGACCTATTGTTGACAGGAGCCGCCATGTTTGCTAGAAAATACATTTCCGGTCGACGGCCTTCAAAATAAATGCCAGGTGTCGTTCTGAACGTCACTGCTCCGATTGAAGATTCGTTCCAAACCTCTTATTTTGAAAGAAACATCGAGTATCGTTTACTTTGGTCTGGTTGGCCGTTGGCAGAGGACATCGATCGACTCAGGAGGTGGTTGCATTTCCAACAGCAGCGGAGCAACCTGTTTGGAGTTCTCAGCTACTTTGGCGATGTGATGAGAATGTTTTGTAGTCAGGGCATTCAACCTATAAGAGTTGTTTTTAACAACGCTAAAAACTGCTTCCTTCACCTCCCGTCGAAGATGATATCGCACCTTTCCTTGCAGGAGGTACGTTAGCCTAGCGCAGTGTTTCTCAAACTGTTTTGGGCTAGCGCCCCCCTATCCATTATCCAGGTCCCTTATCGCCCCCCACCAAAATATTTGTAGGCGACTTTGCACTGAATATTATTTTTATTGTTGACATTACTGTCACTATTGTTGATGTAGTGATTTTTATGCTTGTTTCTGTATTTGTCATCAAAAATAATTTCCCAGAGAACACGTGAATAGAACTTATTTTTACAGGCGTCTACGAAAAATGCTCTGTGCTGCCTTCAGGAGAATGGGACATATCCATACAATGCCACCCACCTGGCATTCACTTTGCTGTGCTTTCAGTGGGAAAACTAAAGTTGCAGATCCTTTTAATGCCAAACAAATATGAGGCAGAAACATGGATTATATCTTTAAATAGACCGGTCTATTGGTTGAGACGCTTATTTATTTTCTAGAATAGAGGATGTGCTGCCTCATGTCAGTGTGTACTTTTTTTATTGACAAGAATCAATATCCTTCATCAAAAATATATAATTTAGATATGCAAGTGAAAACACTTGCATATGTTTTCCCCAAATAGATATCTGAACAATATGACTTGGATTTATATTCAGCCCCCTTTACTCTGGAACTCCTAAGTAAAATCCACTGTGAAAATATATCCTAAACAGTAACAAAATTGACATTGCACCGTCTGAACACATTATCCTCATTGTGGAATATATGACTTCTTCTGTCTTGCAACTTCAGCCTGGTGAAGTTGCAAGACAACCGTGGAGTGGAGATGCAAGTAGGGGTTGCATGCTCTCCATTCAATCTAATGGAGCTTGTGGTGTGTTTAAAGAATAAACAGCAAAAAATATCAGTTTCTAGATATGTTAGATAAAGCTTATCAACATGGAGCCCATGTTGAAACATTTATCTCTACCAACTAATTTCTTTTTGGTATTATTTCCTATTAAATGAAAATAGGAAGACATAAGATAAAAACTGATTATTTCTTATTTTCATGAGTACAGTATACAGCTTTCAATTATTACTGTCCACCAGGTTAATAAACTCAGTCCAGACATGTAATTGCACAAGAAAAAAATATGTATTTTAAAGAATCCCCTGTAATTTTTGTGATTTCTTTCTTTTTCTTTTTTGGTTTTCCTGAAGCTTTTATCCCATCTTTTTCTACAGCTGAGGTGAAAACACACAAGCATAGTTTGAATCATATTTGTTACATGTTTTCTGCCTGTTTTTAGAACCAGACCTTGGAGCTGTCCTGGGAAAACGCACCTCCAGTGTACCTCAGCTGGACCCTGAACAGGGCGTCCTCCGACCCAGACAGCATCGACGTTGAGCTGTGTCGGCAAATGGCAGAGAAGCTGGGCTTGAAAGACGGAGATCAAGTAAAACCTTTTTCTTTGATTTGTTGTTTCGCTTTTACAGTGGAACACACACACACAAAAAAAGTCCATTACTGCATCAACATGTGGTCAGATCAGTTGTTTTATTGATGTTGTTTGGTTTTTTTTCTAGGGTTTTCTGAAACCGTGCCATCAAGTCTCATCTTTAAATCAGGTGTTTGTGGAGCCTTTGTCGTCTGATGACTGGGAGATCTTGGTGAGTGATGGTGATATTGTATGCATGGTTGAAAAGGCACCAAAAGGGCTAAAGTACATTGCAAAAATATTCACACCTTTGGAAAAGTTTCACCTCTCACCCTTCTCAAATCCCAAAAGTGTACTGTTCCACTTTTTGTTGAACAGCACAAAAGTAGACAAATATTTGTCTCTGACAAGCAAGTGGCATTAAAATATTTGTTGGGCTCTGTACATGGAGCTTTTCTTTTTCTCCAAACGTTATATGTTACTCTTTTGATCTAAAGCCACATGCTTTGTTATTTATTTCTCATCTCCCAGGAACTTCACAGTTCTACATTGGAGCAGAAGCTTCTGGATCAGATCAGAGTGGTTTTCCAGAATGGCGTGTTTCCTGTTTGGGTGTACAGTCACTCAGTAATCTACATTAGAATAAGTCTGTGTTAATTTGATCTTTTTTTGTTGTTGTTTAAATATCTGAGCTCAGATTATATCCGTGTTTAATATTCACAAGCACGCTGTCATTTGTTTTTAATTCAACACAGTTTCCGTCTCCCCGCTTGTTCCCTACGGTCGACTGGAGCAGTTCACAGAGCTTGTGGTGTCTCAGAAGATCCGCCGCACTGGACCGAGCAAAATCGGTGATGCTATTAAGAGGACCATCCTTGATCCATCCTTGATGAGCAATTTCCAGCGAGACTCGACTCTGTCTCCCACGTCGGAGGCATCGGCAGATATTACCTCACACTCTGGTCGCAGCCAGGAATGGGGAGGCATCGCTGACCTGAAAAGCCTGCTCCAGCATATAATACGGGGCCCTTACGATCACGCTCCTGTGCCCAACATCCCTCTTGTCTTTCCCGACTCTATCTACAGAGTGTGCGGTGCACCTCCGGATTGTCTTTGTACCATAAGTCACATCGCTGCTGGTGTTATTCACATTTTTCCTTGGCGTCCTGGTCTGAGCACAGCAACTAGAGGAGGTCAGTCTGTAGTGACGTACGGCCGTCTTTTCAAGGTATCATCCCCTAAAAAAGCAAAGGACAAAGCCAGGCAGGCCTTGGAGAAAAGGAAGAGTGGGGGAGGGAACAAAGAGAGCGGCGTGAAAGGAGGGAAGGAAGGGAAGGAGCCAGAGGAGGGACAGGAGGAAGAAGCCACAGTAGTCAAGGTCGTGTGCCACGATGCTGAGATGCTGGAGAGAGGTCACAACAAGATCCACTGTGGAAAAGTATGGGTGAGGAAAATAAACATTCATCCAAACTAATTTCTGGATTTTTTAAATTATAATTCTCTGATCCTGCAATAAAACCCATGTTTTATTTGATTTTAAAAAAATACAAATTTGCATTATAATCACGAAGCTTAATGTATATTCTTGATGTTTTATGTGATAATTATGGAGTGTGACTTACATTTGCTTGCACAAATGTAAGTCACACTTTTCAGATTTTTAAAAATGAAAATGTTCAAATCCATCCACTGTCCTCCGCTTATCGACTTGTAAGGCCTGCAAGTATTTCTCTCTCTGGTCACAATCTTTGTGGGAAAAATAAATAAATAAATAATATTCACTGCTTTGTAGTTGTCTATCGGTTATAATCCCAGTTACAATGGGAATACATTGATTTGAAGTTTGTGGCTGTAATGTAACGAAAGGAGAAAAAAAAAAAGAAATAGAGATATAAATTCTTATGTAAGCCCACGTCTGTATTATTTAATTTCTATTTCATTTCTCTCAGATCCCAGAGCCTCTGGCCAGCAAGTTGAACATCCTGCCACATTCATCAGTGAGAATTAAACCCGTGAAATCAGTCATCAAAGTAGCCTCCAGAGTCCGCCTACAGCCTCAAATACCTCTGGTAGGCGCCGGAGCGTTCGTGTGCCACGGTGCAATTGCATTTGTACGAATCTGATGTAACGCTTTAATATATGTCTGCGTAATGTTGCGATATGTCTTCTTGCTCAGCCCGAGGACGACGATAATGAAGCGATCCAGACGACTTTCCTCAACTGGCTTCACTCAAAGAGTCACGAACCTTTGGCGTGTCTGACTCCTCGCTCCGGCACCGTCCTCCTACATGGAAACGATGGTGATTCATTCCTTTCACTTCTGCTACAAGCTTAAGAAGTGCGATTACAAAACAAAAACCTCCGCCTGTTAGGATTGCAGTTGAGAAAAGTCTAATTATGATACTAAAAATCTGTATTTCCCTCAGCTGCATTAGAAATTTGTATATTTTTTCTCCCCTTTTTTACAGCAAAGCTAGAGTTATCTTTGACAGTGCTGAAACCCAAACCAAACAACGATCCGCCGGACCAGCTATTCCTATTAGCACCCACCGTTCTCCAGAAGGAAAACATACAGGTTTAAGCTTTGGAAACACTTTTTTTTAATGATTTTGTCAGTCAGAATATTGACATTAATGACATGTTGTTCCTTCCAGGTGGACAGACAGACAAAAGCGCAATCTGCTCCAAAAGCTGAATCTGAGGCTCCTGAGATGGAGCTTCCCTCCTTACAATTATTTGGGTAAGTTCTTGAAAGAATTCAACATTCACCCTTTTCAGCTCTAATATGCTCTAATATGATTCCACTTCTTGTATTTTTCCCCCAGTGGGATTGACGCTCTTATTAAGACCGGATTTGAGTTTATTTCCCATGCCCTGCTGGGTAGTCCCCTCTCAAGGGAACTTTGTACCTCTGGAGAGGGACTCAAAGGAGGAGCACTGCTCATCACTGGTGCTAAGGTAAATCTTTGCTATTCAAAATTCACTTCACTCCCCCTGAATGTTTTCACATTACGACCACAATGTATGTTTTCTTTTTCTTTTGTGGTTCACCAAGACAAAATGGGATGTAATTGTGATGTTGAATGAAATGGCAGTTTTGTATAGAGACTTCATATTCCATTTTTCTTTATGGTTTTTGTTGTGTGTGTTTGTATTATCTTTGTTTTATTTATTGTTTCTGGTTGTTGTGTTTTATTTAGGATTTTTAAAATATAGAGATTACTTTTTTTTTTTAAACAAAATTACAGTTTATTGGTCTTTTAGATGGTGAACTTGCATTATTTTACCATTATCACTGTATCACTTGACATCGGTCTCAAAACAACAATATCATCGTTTATCGCAATTATTTCCCTTGACAAATTATCATCTACAAAAATTTGCTTTTGTGACGAGCCTAATTCCAAAGTGGATTTTGATCTGGTCTTTGACTGGACCATTTCAACACATTCCTCACAGCATGATGCTGCCACCGCCCTGTGGATGGTGGTAACTGATCAATATGCAAAATAACGGAATTAAAATGATAAAGATTTAATGTTTACCGAATACTGTACGTTTAGTTAAGTGAATTGCTTCAGGTTCTTCCCTCATTTCCTCTCGCAGGGGAGTGGGAAGAGCTCTTTGGCCCGAGCCCTTTGCAGAAAAAGCAGAGAGGATTTGGATGCACACGTGGAGGTGTTGGACTGCAAAAAGCTCCAAGGTCAAGAAACGTTCCTTTAACACGCAAATGGATCAGAGACAAGCAGAACCTTCATGTTTTCATTTTTTAATTCTTAGGCAAAAGGGCAGACAGTGTGAAGCACATCCTGCAGGACATGTTTGAACAGGCAGAGTGGGGACAGCCCTCTGTGGTCCTGCTCGACGACCTGGATCATTTGACCCGTGCAGCCACGTCACCGGAACACGAGCGTGGCCCTGATGCGCTCCTGCAGCAGTACATTGCACAAAGTAGGTCAAGAAACTCACTCATACCACGCAAGATTTGAGTATGTAAGTAAAGCTGTAGGTTTGTGGCTGCAGGTGTGTGTGACGTGGTTGGCGAGGCGGTGCTCCACTCCACCCTGGTGTGTCTCATCATCACCAGTCAGAGCGAACACTCTCTCCACCCGTCTCTCACAGAGATCCAGGGGTCCCACCTCATCCAGGGATTTGTGAACATCCGGCCTCCGGACCAAGTCAGCGCCAACATCCACGCCCGTACACTGAGAATATCAAGAAAATTCTATCAATATTAAAATGATGTGTTGCTTTACAGGCACAGAGAGCTGAGATCCTGCACCGTCTGATCCTGAGGAAGCCTTTCCTCTCTGAGGAGAGCTTGAAAGATCTGGACCTGGAGGCCGTGGCCATGAGGACGGAGGGATATGCAGCCCAGGATCTCGCTGTGCTGCTGGAGCGAGCCGTCCACGCTAACGCAATGCACAGAGGACACAGCAGTCAAGGTGAGCAAAGACGTTAGCTTTGAAATTCTTTATTAAGACGTATTGATCTCATTGTACGCCCAGATCTGTTCAGCTTAGCCTGATTGTTACCCATCATTCCTCAGGTGTCTGTCTTTCATGGAGGGATTTTGCGCATGCTCTCAGTGGGTTCACGCCTCCGTCGCTGTGGGGCGTGGACCTTCACACGCCGAGTGGAGTCGGACTGGAAAGAGTGGGAGGGCTGCAAGAAGTGCGAGAGCAGCTGATGGACACCATCCTGCTCCCTGCTAAGGTCAGCACCCTGCTGCTCCCTGCAGCACACCTTCCTGTCTGATTCAGGGCTTCATCATGCTTCTCATCTACTGATGTCTTACTGCAAAGATCTGCAGACGCACATCAGTATTACTGTTTGCCTTCAGTGCGTCTTACTAGTTTCAGAGTGACCGCCTTTTCAGTTTTTGTATTTTAGTTTTCATCATGGATCAATAGAAAAAGCAACATACATCTAAAAGCTGACGTTGTTCTTTCGTGCCTTGCAGTATCCGATCCTCTTCTCCAACCTTCCTATCCGCCATTGCTCTGGAATCCTCCTGTATGGAGCTCCAGGTACCGGCAAGACGCTTCTGATCAGGGCTGTGGCCAAAGACAGCGGGATGAACTTCATCAGCATCAAGGTAGCTCGGACTTTGGTTCTCATAGTCTGCAGGACTTTAGTTTTGTGTTTGAGGAAATCAAGGCCTCATTTATTGAGATAAACCTTCACTTCTGCAGGGACCTGAACTCCTGAGTAAATACATAGGAGCCAGTGAGCAGGGGGTTCGTGACGTCTTCCTGAGGTGAACTTCATTTATTTATTTTTTAATTTTAAATTTTTCTTGAGTTTTGACAATACTTTAAAGATGTACGAATGCTTGTAAATGTTCCCACTGGTTTTATTACCTCCTCTTTTCGTTTCAGGGCACAAGCTGCCAAACCTTGCATCCTGTTCTTCGATGAGTTTGACTCTCTGGCGCCAAGGAGAGGCCACGACAGCACAGGAGTAACCGACCGTGTGGTCAACCAGCTGCTCACCGAGCTGGACGGGGTGGAGGGGCTGCAGGGTAGGTCTGAGCATCACTGCAACTTTAACCCTTGAAACGGACGTTATGTTTGGAAATCTGGCCCATTTCCTGCTTGACGCCTGTCCCACTTTTGGTGGATTAACTATGAATCGGTAAACAACTGTATCTCAAAAGAATAAGCAGTTGCTTATTGAAGATCATTGCTGATGTCTTTCTTCCTTGGCTTTGTGCCACAGACCATTAAACAGATAAAACTGCTGCCAGAGAAATGACAAGTAGCGTTTTATCACACTTAGGTTTTAAATTTTTGTTCATTGAACCAATTCATAGACTAAAATTTCATATTTGATTCAGTCGGGAGCAATACAGAAAAAAATAATTGTTTTCCTATTGGTAATATGTATTACCTTATTATTAGCAATTGTCTAAAACATCCATTCATTGAATTAAATAAAGATCGGATTGCACCATGGGCGCCTTCGAATGATCGGATCTGCTTGTTATAAACTGCTGATCACAACTGCGTTTATGTTTCATAAAGTGCCTCAAGATGACATGTTTAGTAATAATATTATATATTCCAACTGTAACTAAGCTGGATTGCACTGAGAAGTGTTTTTTTTTTTCTTACATGTGGGCTTTCAACATTTGACATAACCTTGTTTTCTGCCCTTGTGTGCAGGGGTGTATGTGCTCGCAGCCACCAGTCGTCCAGATCTAATAGACCCCGCCCTGCTGAGACCGGGACGACTGGACAAGAGTCTCTACTGCCCCCCTCCAGACCAGGTGTGTAGATTTAAAAATCAGTCATCTGCTTCCTTCATGCCTATAGATGAAGATCACTGCACTAGAGATTGCACAGCATGACCAACGTTGCATTGCTGCTTTGTTTTACCACGCTGTTAAAAGATGATCTCCTTTGTGTCTTGTTTCCAGGAGGCTCGTGTTGAGATCCTGAAGGCTCTGAGTTCTGGCCTTTCTCTGGCTCCAGATGTCGATCTACAACAGCTGGCAGCAGAAACGCAGCAGTTCACTGGGGCGGACCTAAAGGCCCTGCTCTACAACGCACAGCTGGAGGCTGTTCACAACTGCTCGGCCGTCGGCACGTCAAATGTACGCTCGCTCTCGATGTGCATGCAGTTCTAGGTTCTTTTGGACTGATAAAACAAGAGGCAAAGTGCTGGGAATTATTTCCTTATGTTTATCTGCTTGGAAACTTTAAACCTGTCTGTGTGACCATCAGGAGCTGACCTCCGCCTCAGACACCGACATGAGCCTGTCTTCCATGATCTTCCCGAATACCAGCAGCGGCTCAGACGACTCTGTCGGAGAGGGAGAGCAGAGCTTGGTGCTGGACCAGTCGTTGGTTCTGGTTGAGCCCGCGGAGCTTCATTCTGAACACGAGGAGCGCCGCAGTAACGTCTGGAGGTTTTACTTCGGAAGTTCCTTTGAGTCGGAGGGTGGAAACTCGCCAGTTTTTAAACAGGTGATCATTCAAGAGCCAGTTTCCGTAAAAAAAACTAAACTGGAGGTGTAAGTGAAAGTACTTAATGTTTCCACATTTTATTGGGATTTTGAAACGATGCATTGGTTTTCAGATTTTTTTTCTTTCACAAAAATGTGAAATGTGATTTAACAAAAAACTGAAATATTTTCACTCGCCTGCAAAATTTCCACTTTATATCTTTCTGTGATGTAACATTCATTAAAGTTTGGGTGTTTTAATGTAACTTATTTATCAAACTTGTAATAGATACACAAACTTCTGCAAGGTTTTGGGGGTGCTTCATCTGAGCAGCGTTTTCAAACTTGTTTGTAAAGAAAGTCGACTGAATCTGAAGGAAAAGTTTTCAGCCTCTAGATGTCACTGCATCTTCTCCCTGGACCTCTAACCTTTTTTCACTGTCGCCTCTCTATTAATAATGACCACAAATCCATTTAATCTTGGTCCAGGACTTTGGTTGCTATAAAACGGAGCAAAGAAAGTCCCTGTTTAACATCTGTGTGTTTAACAGGAATCCCTGTATGTCTCTGGATCCAACTCCAGAAACCCAGTCAGCGGACTTGCTCCAGCGTACATGTCCTCCGTCCAGACCGGATATAAAGAACTCGGCCCAGAGCAGCTGGAGCGGCTGCAACAGGACATCAAAAACATCAAGAACAGCTACAGGAAAGGAAATGTAGGTGAAAATAGGACTGAAAACCCATCTGTACATGATGTTATTTCCAACAGTCTGTGCATGTCATCAGCTTTTCTCACCAATCTTCTGACTTCAGATGAATTATTCTGCGTGTATTTCCGCATCGGTTTTCAACGCCGCACTGACCTACTCGTTTCCAATAGAAGAAACATCAGATCTAAGCTTGCGCCTGTGTACGTCTGTGTTTCTTTCTGTATAGGATGACTTTGTGTGGACGCACCCAGCCTCCAGCCTGCCAGGACTCCTGCTGTCTCAGGCTCACATTAGTTCCGCCTTAGCCGTGACCAGACCCTCTCTCAGCCCGGCCGACTGGGGCAAGTACACCAAACTGTGAGTACTGGGAAACCAGAGGACTCTGTATCAGATTAGAACACAAACCACTGTGGTAATATCTTTAAATAGATCTAGTTTTTAAGGCACTTCAGGAGTTCTGCAACGTCTCTCCTGCAGAATGATTATAGTGATAAAAGTGACGATATGAACAATATGAATAAAGTTTAGGATTGCTCATTGTAGCTGTGAAGAAATTGAGCACTTAATCGCAGTTTAACTCTAATGAAATGTTTGCACTTACATTATTTTCAGTTTTTCTCACCTAAACTCCATTTCCCTCTTAAGGTACGAAAGTTTTGGGGGTCCGAACGACAAATCGCCTCCTAGTGCCACGTTTACGCCAGGACAGCGTGTCACGTTAGCCTGATGGCAAGAATTCGTCTTAAACATTTGATTTATAGATTGTCTCTACATTTTGTATACCGATGTGGTGAAATAAAAGATTTAATATGTAATTATTGCACATATGTAAATTTTCAGATCTTGTGAGATTCTAAAATGTAATTAATAAAAATGTGATTGAAATGATTTTACACATCTGGTTCCCATTATTTAGTGTGCAGGTTTTGTATGAAGGTTTTGTTTGGGATTTTATTTGACCATTTGCCATGTCTGAATTAGTATAGAAAAAGAAAACGGAGTATGTAATAACGCTTGATTTTTGTGACGTTTCTTATCTTCAATTCTCAGAATGTCAATGTTATAAAACAAAAAAACAAACAAAAACAAAACATACACATGGTACCTGCTAATAAGAATTACATAAGTAGTTCAAAATAAATATGTTGTGCTTACATATTCAGAAAGTCATGGCAAGTCATTTTAACAAAAGTGCAACTTTCTGTCTGCTGGAGAAAGGCTTCAAATTTTGACTTAATTTATTTTTCTTATGACTGTCAACCTACACCAATAAACACTTGCAGGTTCTGCAAATATAAAAATAGGAGGAAGAACTTGGTTTCAGCTCGCCGTGGTCTCGCTTCAGTCCCACACATCGGGTGAGGACAACAGAAGTGGTCCAGTGGGGGTGTCTGTCTCCTTAATCAACGTCTCAAGCACCTGCTATGAGACAAAGTCGTGTATGCACAAAGAGCGCTGTAAAAATGCAGAGACGAGTCAGTTTATCTTTAAATTCCCCTCATGGTTTTAGGTCTCAGGTGTATTGAGGGAACATACTCATTTCCCATCACAGAAAGGGTTTTCTTTTTGCATTAGTACTTCCTCCTCCTCATCAATCATCCCAAATGATTCATCACCTGCTGTCTTTCAAACATAGAAACTTTGAGGGAATTTCACCAAAATTAGCTCCAGACCAGCAGAAAGCACAGTAGATGTTTTTTTTGTTCTCTTTACTCTGTACCAAAATAGATCAAAACTTTTCTGATCAAACAAAAGCGTGTGGTTTAGTGAGCTACAGAGGGTACTTTTCAGTCAAATCCCAACATAGAAAAACACAGCAGTTAAAGATGACGGCTGACATTAATTCACGATCACGGAAGATCTTCAAAGTGTTGTCAGATTCCATATAATTTTTTTTTTCTCGAGCTTGTGATTGTGAAAATCTGGAGGTTTCATGATGGACAATGGTGACGGTCAGTGAAGTACTGAAGGCGAAGTCAGTTTAAGATATCCTAAAAGTGATTGCAACGAGCTGCAACATCATGGAAGCCCAACCTATTTTCCAACTAGTAATTATTTGGCCACTTGGGAACCTCTCAGACATGACATCATTAGGTATGCCAAAAGAAAACGGTGATGACATCACGGCAAAAAGTTAGTTATTCCATCCCTTCACTGTGAAACATAAGGACTTTTCCACCCTGTAACTAAAATAAGTTCATGAGCTCTAATACTGCAATAAGTCGTTTTATTAAAATATGTTTCAATTATTCATGTTTAAGCATACTGTGGGCTAAGCCTGCTAATAAATAAAGAGAAGACAGAATTTTTTTTATTATTATTTTTTAATGTAAACAGCAGTTTTAGGGGCTTTGAAAAAAAATCTAATGAAGAAGGCATTAAATAGGAAGGACAAAAATATATAAATCATACTAAGAATAAAAATGCTTCCTTTTTTTTAATTACTTAAATTAAAAAAATACATAATTTCTCAACTTGCTGGCCTTCATAGTCTGAAAAATACGCAGAGAGAAATGAAAAAGTCAAACTCCCTTTACCAAACGCCCACAACCAGGCTGTTCACAATTTTAAAAATTACTAAATGATGATCATTAATACACAAAACAAAACAAAACAAAAGCTCCAATATTGCTTAGGAATGTTGTTTACAGCAGTCTTCAAAACAACAACAACAACAACAAAATAAGACTCAAATTAGGAAAAAGATGAGAGAGAGTATGTTGTCTAACGATGGTGGCTCTCTTACACTTGTCTGATGGCACTGCCACTGTGTACGTATGTACAATGAGTAATGAGCAGCTGTGGTTTTCAATAACATTAATGTGTATATAAAAAATACTGCAGTAAAGTGGTTGGATTTTGAGAATCACCTTATTTGAACAGTCTTCAGTGCGTGTTAAGTGAGACTGGGGCAAGACAAAGAAGCATTTCAATGAACTATGGGTCCGCTGGGCGTGATCCAGCCTGCTGCGAGACATTTAGCTGCCACCAAGTAAGTGGAAATGTGACAAAATATAAATACTTCTGACGAGGTGACACAAAATCCCTCCATTTACAAAACGGCCATCCTGATCTCTGCAATCTTTGTCCCTCACAAGAAAACCCTGAGGAAAATAATAATAATAATAAAACAAAGAACAAAACAAAAACTTAAAAAAACAACAACAAAGGAGGTGGAGAGAATGAAATTTCAACGCATTCGTCTACAGAAGCAAGAAGACAGCAAGAGGCTGGGCAGGAAGGAGGACAAAGAGAAAGTTTGGAAACATCGGTCACAGGAGGAAAGTGATGGCGGCGATGCACAGACGCAACAAACAAACGCTCCCTGGCTTCTTTTCTCCACCCTGATGACTCTGCACTGACTCCCTCGGTAACATCAATATTTACTATTTTTCCTTTTATTTTAATCATTATCATTCACTTTTTCTTTCTGCTTCTTCCAGTATTTGAGAAAAGAGGGGTTGGTCCAGTGAATACAGACGGTGCACACTGGGATTTGGGGTGGGGTGGGGGGGTTCAGGCTTTTCAGGGGGGTGCAGGTCTAGTTACAGTCGTAAACAAAGTCATAGTTGCTAGGTTCTTTGGGAATCGGGGGAGGCGCCTCAGGAATCTGGATGTTTTCTAGATCCAGTAGGCGAAGCTTCATTTCCATGGAGAGCAGGGTGTCCATGTCTGTTTTGGTGTAGTCACTGGTCATCTCCTTTCCCAGGAGAGCATTGAGCCCGTCCGTCCACACGCAGTACTGCAGAGAGACAGTCCGAGGCAAAGCGTCACATTAAAATGACTCCAAGAAACAAAGATAAAGTCTGTAAAATATATTTCAGTTCAACAGTGATGCGCTGAAAAACTACGATTCACATTTTCTACAGTTTAGACTTAATAACACAATCAGACTTTTCCACTGTTCTAATGTCGCCTTCTCTCCTGTCGACAAACATTTTTTCTTTCATTTTGAAAATGTTTCAGAACTAAGACAAATTTTAATATTATACATCTCCCTTGTTGAATCATGAAACAGCTGCTGTGAAGTGGATTTCGGTGTCACAACGTCGAGGCCTGATCACCGAGAAACTTCCAGAATCAGGAATTTGGCTGTAGACAACCTGCTGGTGGCCATGAAGAAGACTTAAAGAAATTCAAGAACTGATGAGAAACAAAGTTGCTGATGTTCATTTGTATGTAAAGGGTCACAAATATCATTCAAAGGCTTTGGGACTCCAATAGCCTGACCGCTGCTTTCCACCCGATTCTCATCAATTCTTCCCTCAACCACAAAATCCTCCAGGAGGATTTCTGGTGACCTTTTGGGACCAGAAATCCTTTGCAGCAATCAAATGATCTACAGGACACCTGCAGGTTTATTGCTGAATAGCTACAAAAAAAAAATCATGAAAGTTTTGTAGTGGTCCAGTCAAAGTTTGGACCTAAATCCAAAGGAAATACTGTGATGTGACCTTAAGGAGACCAATTTAAGTTGTGACAAAAAAAAGCAAACAAATTTAAAAAAATGCAAATATTTTGTTTTATAGAAATATTGTACATTCAATTTGACTTCAGGTTTTTACATTCACTTCAAATTACTTTTACATTCAAAACTGTTTTAAAACATCCTGAAGACAAGCCTTTACTCAAACAGAGAGACAGAGGAAGGAACTAAACAAATCAGTGCCTCAAGTGTCACATGTCCCTGTTATCACTGTAAACACTTGTATATCAACTAGATATGACACTCGGAGGATTTATATTTAGATACCTGCCTGTCCTCGTCTTCATCAAACACGCTTATTCTGTCTGACACAGCCAACAACCACCAAGTCGACCTCTGCTGACTTACCTCATGCTTGTCGGGAGCGATGAAGTTCAAGTATTCATCTGACTCGTAGAGGACAGAGAAAGCCAGCTCCAACACCTCCTGCAGAGAGGACGGGGTAGAAAGCAGACGAGGATGAACAGAGGGGAAATTGTGCAAAAACGGCACCGGAGTCGTTGACAGAAAAGGAATATGCGAGGAAGAGGGAAAAACGAAATAGTAGGTGGGAGTAACAAATATTACAGATCGCAGTGAAAAGATCTGATGTAAATATGCTGAACTGTTGTGATTCTGCTGGCCTTCAGAAACCACTAACTATCTTTATCCACTGAGCAAGGCGATATGTGTGATGATGGGAAAATCACCGAAGGGGTCGGACAGATAATACAGAGGACATGTCTGAACTGGCATGCAAAAAAACTATTTCCAATATGCAAAGTCACATCAGACTTTAAAAAAAAATCAGCAGCTTGTTTTTAGCATCCAAATGAGAACTTGAAAAGCAAAGTGCCAGCTAGAAAAATATTAGTTGCACATAACATTTGTCTGTATTACAGGCAGTACTGGATGAAAAACAGATGAGACATGTATCGTTCACCTCCGCTGCGTCTGAAGACACCAGGATTTCAAAACTGAGACGACCACGACACGCAGCGTGGACTAGAGCAGGAATGCAATACCAATTTCACCTGTATACTCTTGAGTCTGGATTCAAGCAGCAGATAATTAAACATTTAGTCTGGGGCTGCAGCCCAGCCACACTTTCTGGGCAGATAATAAATAATGCAGCTTCAGTTCATTTGTTTGAGAGGGAAAAGGCTCTGCTTTTTGAGCAAGAGAATAAATGCTCCCTACGTTGAATAGCCACTGTCCCAAGCTGGCATGTTTTATTAACAAAAGGGGTTTAGGCTCAATAGCTTTAAAGAATTGTAAAACCCAAAAAATGCTGTTTACTGCATTTGCCTGTCTCTTTGTAAGCACTTAATCCAGTCGAAGAAATATTTAGCTGATGGATGAAATGATAAGAAGTCGGCGACCCATAGAGCTGTGCAGCTAGTGCTGCTGAAAACAAAAACATGCAGGCTGGTTAGGGAAAAAGTACATCGTATTTTTCTTTCTTAGTCGGGAAGATATTAAAACGTCTGAAACTCTGACATTTTATTTGAGTCGCATCATTATACACAGTGCCTTGCAAAAGTATTCACGCTCCTTGACGTTTTTCACATTTGTTATCATCATGATTGACGTATTTCACTGGGTTTTGAAAAGACAGAACATAAACATGAACATAATTGTGAAGTGGAAGGAAAACGTGCACAACTTTTTTGGTTAAACTTTTAGAAATAAAAATCGGAAAAGTGCAGAATGCATCTGAATGAAGAGCACCTCTTTTATGTATTAAAGGGTTAGTGACAAACGTTGAACTTCTGACAATGCAGTAAAATAGATTTTTCTTGTATAGATATTTGAGATAAAACTCAGAAATGAGGCACTTATGTTTCTGAAGCCTGTGAAGATTAGACTCTGCCTGGCTGTCTAACACATTAACACTATAATGTGTTCACGTTGTCACTCACAAAACTAAAACAGGTCCTAGACCTACACTTATTAACAGAAATATAACAGCGTAAAGCTCCAGAGGAGGCTCCTCTCTTTGTCCATAAGGATGTTTATACAAGACGGAAGATGGGGGACGAAGGCCTGCAGTGGCAAATTACTGAATGATGTGTACATGGATGAAGATAAGATGGAGCTTTCATTCTGGTTAATGCTCAAGAGTGAATGCTCATGTTACTGACATATTAGAACAGGGATGAGAAAAAAAAATCGACTGATTCCAGTCAACAACAAACTATTTAGTCGTCTATGTGAACAAAACGCTGCTGATGAATGCGCTTGCCCCCATGAAAGCCACTGAAATGTAAGTTATTGTGTTATTTCCAAAAGCAGAATTTATGTAACTGACATCATGTTATGCAACCTCTCTCTTTCTCTCCCTCTCTCTCACACACACACACACGCGCACGCACACACACGCACACACACGTTTTCTTAGCTGGATACACACCCACCCAGGCGCCTGCATGTGTTCACATGCACACACAAACACTGAAACACACCTTGTTTTGCTTGAGGGCTCCTTTTTCCTTCATGTGAGGACAGTCTTTGCCAGTGATAACAGCTTTGATATCAGCTACAGGCACTGCAGAGAGGACAGATGACAGTTAACAACAACAACACCACCACACAACTCTGCCCTCCCAGATGACTGCTTGGTTAATTCTAGAAATTAAAATCCAAGTAAAAACTAAGGCTAAAAGAAGAAAAGGGTATTCAACCTGCACCGACAGTTAAGGGGGAAATGATTCCTACTCCTGGAAGAATGAAACATAAAATTATTACGTTTTAGCCAAGAGCCTTGTTGCTGATAGGAATTGAGACGGACATCTCCCAAACGTCAAGAGGACAACGCAGAAGGGATATTATTTCAAACAAAGCTGGGATGCTGAAAACCTTTCTCAGCAAACCCCCAAAAAATCTTTATTGGCAAAATATCAATCAAGCCCTTTTTACAGCTGCTGACCAGCTGCTTGCATGTTTTTATGGACAATTTGCCAATTTATCCCTGACACTTCAAATCAGTAATTTTACTTCCCGTTCGAAGAAACATATTGATCAAATTAAAAGATTTCTTCAAACTTAAGTATGGCAATTTTTTATTAAGATATATATATATATATATAAGCTTAAATCTGCAGTGGATATGTATTTAATGCTCAATAAATATTTTCAGCAAAAATTCTTAAAAATAAACATCATCATATCTTGAAAATATAATCACAGTGAAAAAACTAAATCAGAAAATGCAACTTCTACATTATTCTGACCTCTCAATGTTTAAATAGTTTTATTGCTCTTTATAATGCTTTGATCAAATGTTGCATTTTTCCAGAATGCCCTGGAATCCTGTGATTGTAGCTTTCAAAGCAATGCTAAAAAAAATAAATAAATAAGCTCTGCAATTAGTACAACTTAAAAAAAAAAGTCTTGAAGTCCTGTTTTTCTGCAGCACTTGACAAATGAACCAGAATGACAACTTTCCAACCTGGGGTTATTTGTGAAAAAGCCATCAAATAGCACTGGCAGGTCAGAGCTTTATAAACATTTTGGAAAACTGATGATTAAACCTTCTGCTAAATTTGATAGATACTCACATTTGTCCTGTAAAGAGTCATGGGGGACCTCTCCCTGAGGGCTCTCCTCAAGATCTCCATAGTGCAGGACTTTATGATTCGGAGACAGCCGGCAGTACCAGAACTTATCTGGAAGAATCAACAGAGACGGATTTAGACAAGTTATGAAATAAACAGCAGCTGTCAAAAAGTGTGAGTCATCAAGAGGAGAGAGAAAATTAGCAGACAAAAAAAAAAGGATCAGAGCCAAAAGACAGCCTTGAGGAAAACCCGCAGATGGGTGAAGATCCTCTCCACAAGGGAGGGATCATGACGACACAGTTTGTTTTCACCAAGTCAGCAGCAATATCCAGTAACCTCAAGTCAACCAATGACAAGGGACCTTTAATTACCAGAAATGGTAAAAAAAAAAAAAAATCTCAGAAAAAAATGAAGAGGCTAAATTCAAGGATGAATCAGATTCACAACGTGAACGTCTGCTCTGCCAGCAGGAAAAACTGTAAAAGTTTCATGCAGGAAAATGCAACTTTTACACGATAGTGTTTTTCCCTTTTAATAATTGAGAGGGTTTACAAGCAGATACCAGCAGCTAAATTGTTGTGACAATATCGCGCTTTAAACAGATTATTTCACAGAGAAGCAGCAGCTCCACGCAAACACAATCAGACGATGAAACTAAAAAATATTGGAGAAAGAAGAAAATCTTATTTGAAAAAAGGAAATCCGCCGACACAGACTACGTTTGAATGAGTGCAAAGTGGACAAACAGTGAAGATTAAGTGGTTTTAAAACAAAAAAATTGGGGCCTGTACTCTATAGTGATAACTGCAAAGTGTTGCTTGATGCAATTCTCCAATACTCTGCAGCAAATCCGGTATTCTTTTAGTTGATTTTTTCTGCCAAAGTGGGCATCAAGCTTACTGTCACTGGCAGCGAGGAGACACACACAGCAACGCTCTGGCTGGAGTGTGAACAGTTGCCATATCCTAATTGCTGAAAACATGCCGGCTGGTTCCAGGCGGGTGTGGAGCGGTACCGATCCACAGGGAGCAGATTGATACAAAAAAAATAAAAAAAAGACTCGTTTGGTTACAGCGAAGCGAGGAGAAGGGATCGACTGTTCGGCTTCGTCGTCAGGCTGATGGATCGGTGCGCCTGCAGGTGTCTGCACTCCGGAGCGTGAGCTCTCTCCTCTCGGCTTCGACCGATTCAACAACATGCAGCCATGAGAGATGGGATTCAAAAAGTTCTGGCCAAGATTTTCTTCCTTTGATAAAGTGCACCTCAGTGAGATGAAAATACTGCTACCAGCTATAAAAATGCTCTTAGAAGGCTGGAGACGCTGCACTTTTTCCACCGTTCACTTCAAAAACAAAAGCTTTACGAGAGAAATATTCATTTCAAATGGACAGCACAGGATAGAGAGGGGAATAATTCAACAGTAGTGTTGAGGTGAATTAATATTTAATGCTATGGATGCATCTGATCAGGATGGAGGATTTTCAAACAGTGAGACGAGACGAGAAGCTGCGGCAGGTTTAAAGCAGCAAAGAAAAAAAAAATAAACGTGTCAATGACAGAGAGACAAAATAAACAAAAAAACCCCGTTAATTATCACTCAGCTTGCACTCCAAATTTACAGGTGTGCCCAGCCGGCATGAGGACAAAGGCTCAGAAAGGAGAAGAAAGATGGATATGTGTATTGTTGGAGGACAGATAGAGGAGAGGAGTAATTTGAAGGCTGAGCAGATTCACCCAAAAGCAAAGCACTCAAAACAGAACCAAGATAGCAACGCTCCGGAGGAACAGGATAAATGGCAGTCTAAGAGAGGAAGTCAAACCACGCTGCAATAAATACATTCAGGGTTGAAGATAATCTGTTACGCCTCTGAGCCGCGAGGCGAGGCATCGACGGTGGCGTAAAGTTTGACTCATGTAGGGATGAGCAGGTTCTGCGGCGCAAAGGTGGGATGTAATGACGACAGCCGCTCCAAACCTTTTTGCACAAAACACTTCAAGGTGAGACTCGCATTCCCTCATGAAGATAAGAACCATGAAAGGTTAATAAAACAGAGGAGAAAAGCCCCATCACCGAATATCAGTCTACCAAAAGCACCAAAGACGGTGAGGGTTTTAAATCACAGCTGATCGTTCCTAGTTAATGTGGGATCCTCTCTCAAACCTGATTTGCAATTTTTCGTCCTCCTTTGAAGTTTATGATTATGTAATCTCACTCTGATGGGACTCAGATGACACCTGACAGGACAAATCCTAACGAGGATGTAAAGTGCTGAAATGAACTGACTCAGTAAGACCCTCACAACCCCTCCCAAAAAAAAAAAAAAAGCATTTTATTTGAGAGAGCAGAAGCTGGACGGGTTATGGCAACAGTCGTTACATTTTTAGATGGAATATGAAATGTCAGACTGGATGATTTTAATGCACTCCAACCTGAGAAGATGTGTAGATTCTTGGTGGTTTATTCTTATTTTCCATCACAGAGGAAAAGGAGTGCTATTACAGCAGCAGACTCTGCAGTTAAATCACGCTGATCTTTATGTTTTTAGCACCTTCAGATTAATCCAGCTCTGGCCGTGTTTGCATGCTGCAGAGGTGTGTCGTGAAGGGCAAAAGGGAGTAGGAAAGATGTCATGCACGCACTTCTTAAAAGACTCGCGATGCATTTTTTATGCCTTAAAAGACACCCTGTGCCACCGCGTGTCTCGACTTCAAAGGTCGAGAGAGCCGGAGAATTCGTGCAAGTGATTATGAGTGCAGATTCGCAGCAGTCCAGAGGCTCAAAGATTCCCGCTAACGAAATGTGCCTGGTTTTCACAAAGAAAAGGGACTGAGGAGACGGAGACGAAGATCAAAAGGAGGAATATGAGGAAGAAATCAGACAAGGAATCCTTGCGGATGGAGGAGTGTGAATTAAAAACCACGTGTGGGTCAAGAGCGCCTCACCTTGCCTCCTGCGACTGCTGATTTTCCTAAAGCAGGTCCCCTCGCACAAACGGTTGAGCCTCTGCTGCTTGATCAGCTCCATGATCTCTGGCTGGATCTTTTCTCTCAGCTCCCTGTGGGAAAATAAACACAGATTACTTGTTGGTGGAATTATCTGCAGTCTGTTAAAAGTGGCGCTGATCTGCAAAGTGTATCTAGAAGATTAAATTAGCCATCTAAAAAAATCCCAAATAAACATTTCTTAAATTATCAGTGTTGGAAGACATTAAATGCACAATCGATCTCAGTGTTTGTAATTCGGCAAGTCTGAGAAACGGAGGAAAAACCAGCACTAAATCAATGAGACCAAAGCAGTTTACAGAGAGAAATTAAAATTTACAACAATAAAAAACAATGTTGATGTAAGCACGAACTCAGAAAAATCAAAGATGACGCTAAGTTCATGAGATGCACAAGCCAAGTTAAGACGTCGGTTCTCAGCATTGATTTATGGGCTCTGAAGCAGAACAACCTTCTGCCTGAAGGCAGGAGGAACAAGACCTGGATGACTTCTGAAATAAATATGAGACAAAAGTTTATGATAATAATAAACTGATTGGTTGGTGACGCAATTTGGCCAATTTTAAACTTGACCAGCCCCAAGCTCTTATCTTTTTCCAACTGGGGAACCCAACTCATCGTTTGATGTTTTCAGTGTGTGAGCTGCTCAAATGAAGCCAGAGGAAACACAAAACGAGTGAGAAGCTATTTAAAAAGGGAACAGCATTCCTATTGCCAGATATTGGATGCTGGTCCAGGCAGCCAATCAACTAGAATTCCCCCCCCCCCACTTCTTTGAAGAATCAATATCCACCAGTATCAGCAGGTCTTTACCAAATCAGATTATCGGCCAGAACATCTTGATAAGTGCGTCTCTGTTTTTCTACACCCTTCATTCATCATTTCAACTTTCTTCTTCATCACCTTTTGCTTTGCTTGGTTCATTGATCATCCACTCAAGACGTGGATCTGAGGTCAGAAATCTTGAAGAATTTAGCAAACAAATTGAATATTGTGCTTGTTTTGCTCTCACACCTTTGAATGCCTCGTCTACTGTGTCTTATTACAACGTTGCAGAAGGTTCAATTTAAATTGATTCATTCAAGTGAATACGGAAAACCTGGGGTACCGGATTGCAGAACGAAGAAAGGCACCTGGGAAGGTGATGGAATAAAAAACTGAGGCAAAAATCATCAAAAAGGAGGAGCATCTATCATGAAGCGTCTGCAAAACATTGATTAGTTCAACTGGAGAAGACAGTCTGAGATGAATTAAACAGCAAAAGAGAAGGAATGAAAGAACAAATAAAAATGCTTTGTTTTTTAAAAAGTAAATATTTCAGAGTCATTGTTCTGATTTCCTCAACTGCAGAGGCAGCGCTAATATTTTAAAACGTGGCCAGAAGCTTCTTGCTATTCTGCTGTGCAGCAGTCTGATTTGGAACGTTTAACTTATTCAGGCACTCTTTGTGCGCCGCTGTGTCATTGCATTCGGTCTGGTGGGATTAAGCGTCTGTGAAGGTTTGGTCTCTCCCCTTCCAACGGCGATTCAATAAGCCCTTAGCGCAGCATTGATTACCGCTGAAAGAGACAAGTTCTCTCAGCGTAACGATTCCTCAAAACTGCTACCTACTCCATTAAAAACAAGGACAGAACAATGTTCTCCGATACAGAAGGTGGATTAACGATGCACCGGCTCTCTGAGAGGGCCATTAATTGAGCACAGACTAAGAAGGCCGCCTGCAGATACTTAGAATTTAATGCAGAGATTCATCAAAAAATATATATATGTATAAAAAGGCTGTTTTAGGCCATTTGCTTGGCATTTAGATGAAAAATGTAAAGAAAATGTAAAAGCTACTCCAGAGACATTAAGGATTATAATGATTCGAATATCTGCACTATTTTGGTTCAAATACCTATTAAGTTATGTTAAAAGATGGACTGCAACAGTTAATACCAAGGGGATTAGGCACAATCTCCAGGTCTATATTGGCATGAAATGAATTTTTACTAGAAAGATTTCATAATCTGGCAGCCAAAAAAAAAAAAAAAAAAAACAGTGGAATTGACCGTTTTTTTCCTTTAAAACTTACAAAATGGGCCGGGACTGGAAATCTTCCTGATTCATTCTCTCGGACTGACGTATCTTCAGGATCTCTGTGTAGCTCAGGTTCTGTAGGCGACTCTTGAACTGGTCCAAGGAATTAGGCTTCACAGAGAGCGCTCGCATGATCTGCTCTCTCACCACCTGCATTACCTGGAAAGAGGCAGAGGAGACACAAGTGAGATGAAGAAAGAAGATGCCAAATGTGTTTCTGGGAAAAAAAATTAGCCACCACGACTAAGAGAAATATTTTTCGATTATCTTACATTCATCTAACAATGTGTATATCGTTATGGACATATCCATAAGCAGCTCACACCAGGTGGCATTTGAATAAACCATGCTGTGTGTCTATTTTTGCCCTCGTCATTTGTTATTTTATTTTATTTTTTTTTATCTGCTATCACTGACAATGTAGGTGAGAATGATAGCAATAATGTCCGAGGAATGATTTATGTCCATTTAAACAAATGTAAAAGAAAATTGGAGAGCAAAAAACACAGAACTGTAAAACCTTTCTGTGCAGCAGAGAGTGGATTCCTTTGTGGTTTTGGGTTACCAGGTTCTCATGTAAAGATGAACAACAGCATTTGTTGCTGTCACTTTTTTTATGGAGCTCCCACTGATACATAAAACCAGAAATATTACATACACTGCATAAAACCCCCCTCAAAAAAAACAAAAAAGAAAAATTTTGTTTACCTCTGTGTCCGACTTTAAACTTGAATGAATGTTAAAGTCGGCAGGGATTGCCAAAATTGTTTCCTTTTGCTAATTGCCTGTATATTCAGAAGATGGGAGCAACGATCAGCGTGCTGCAGCCTCTGACGTGATCATTCTGCAACTTGAGTGACAACTATGGAAGTGACTTTACTGCATTAAGTGACAAGTTAATCTGACTACTATTATATGAGTTTTTGAGCTTATTACAACAGAAAGAAATTACATTTTTGACAGAACTGGGATTATTTTAACCACATTATTAAAGCTTGATTTTTTTTTATAGCATAAAAGCCTTTTCGTTACTATGCATGTGCACTCCGAGTTGAAAGCTAAAACATTCAAAAGCAGCTCCTTTCATTTAACAAGTCATTTGGATTCTGCATAATTATGATTTAAACAAAAACATAACCCATTTTTTCTCTTTTTTTTAAATTTATTTTTCAGCCAGCAAACAAAAGCTTCTTGACAGAGAGTTCACTTTCAACATGCGTTTCTTAGGTTTGCTGAACTCTAGATCTCAGTAAAAGTTTGGCGGCTTTAATAAAACAAACATTTCTGCAGCCAAGCTCTATATACTACAGAGGATGTGGAAGCAGATGTGACACACAGCTCTGAAAATGGATCAACATTGTTAGCTGCTGCTGGGTCTGCAGCAGAACCATCACTGGATCAAATTCCTTTCAAGTGACAGGAAAGAAAACTGATTTTCCTTTTGTTGTATTCGATGTGAATCTTTTGTATTCTTTAAAGGCGATATTCCATGCATGTTTTTTGAGGTGCTGCAAGTTTAAAACACGATGTACAAATGTACAAAGCTTGTAACATTCAGACGTGACTTTTGCCATGTTTTTTACCCCACAGCCACAAACTACAAAGTATTTTATTTTGTGTTGCAAGAGACAAAAACAACATATGAGACATGTATTTTTAAAATACTTATCCATATGTATTCAATAGTTTTGTAGATGTACCTTTTTGTTTTTGTTTTGAGCTCCTGTATATTTTCATCAATTTGTTTTTTTCCCTTCTGGAAAAAAAAAAAGGAAACCTCAACCCCACAGCATGATGCCGCCACTGCTGTCATGAATAGACATTCAAAATGATGATAGTATTTTCCATCTCTTTTCTTTCTTGGTCTTCATGATGCTGTTGAAGACGAATCTCCACTGGACTGATACTGTATTTAAATTCACTCGGGTGTAGTCGGTTTAAATTGATTTTATTTAGGGGTATCCAAGTGTATCAAGCTGACCGGGGTTGAACAGAAATGCAAACCTAATTTTTTTGAGTTTTTAATGTTCAGATCTGAAAACCCCTGGATCATTTTTCTTCTCAATTATGCTGCACATTTGGTCGTTCTTGCACATAAAATCCTAAGAAAATGCACTGGAATTTGAGATTCCAATGAGACAAAATGTGAACATGCTCAGTAGGGATGACAACCTTTCCACTCTATAACTGCCATGTTCTTCTTGTGATGCACTAATCTGATAGGTCTGGTTACTGTCAAGTTTAACGACAAGGCTTAAACCTGTCAAAAATCCCAAACAGGTCTTATGCAATATTGTTCCCGTTGCTTGTTTTTTGCTGCAAGGCGATTACTCATCATTTGGAGGAACCTCTGGACTCTCACCACTCAGACTGAGCCAGCGATAAGGCTATTAAAAATAGAAAATTTGAGCCGCTGGAAATGCATGTGAAGCATAAGCCTGAATCAAGCAAGAAAAAAAGAAAAAAAAAACCCTGAAAAATTTGAGGCCACACAAGCCAAAGAGTGTGATCCTTCTTAATCACCATCAGGACTCTTTGTGCATTAAGACGAGATCTGGACTCAAAGTCCTGACTCTTAAGATGAAGCTGCAAATCAATATGGACAGACAAAGAAGCTAACTGAATTTGTAATTCAGTGTCTGATAAAGTCCAGTGTCAAAATGCCGGTAGGAAGCTTTCAGCCTGAACTTGTTGGTAATTAAACTTTAATCAAGGGATCAGAACACATCTCTATGACAAAGCCATAAAATAACACGAGAAGAGCCACTAATTTCAGCCACAAGTCTCAACGTGACATCATATTGAACCTGCAAACTCCACTGTAGACGTCAACCACATTTAATTCCGTTTTGGATTGATTTACAAAAACACCGGCTACATGACCACATCTTCCCTCTCCTGTGTGGCACAGGAGCTGATGCAAAACATCTGTGGCACTGCAAAGCCAAGCCGTAAAATATCCTTTGACAGGGCAGACAAGGTTGAGACAAAGCCGCTGTGTGCTGAGCCTAACCTTAACCAACATCATTTTCAAAATGATGCTAATGGAATTAAATAATGGCTCCCTGACACGGGCATTTTTGCAGAGATAAAAGAAAATTTCATGCCCTTCTCCCTCAAGCGAGACTTGAGAAAGAATCATGCTGCACATCTAATGAGACAGGAGGAGGACTTCAGCATCTCTGAAGTCTGAGTGTCACTTCAAATATTGCTTAATGTTTTATTCAATTTTCATATTCAGAATAAAAATTGAGTTTATTCCACCTGATTTAATTAAAATGACATCCACTGTGCCTCGCTACAGTAACCACATCACTTGGCTTTTTCACATTTTGTCACATTATGACGTTTTTTTCTTTTTTTTTGCAACAAGGACTTACATGAACTGGTGTAAATTTCTAAAGTGGAGGGGAAATTATTTCAAAAATATGCAAACTAGAGCATCAAATATTTATGGCATGTTTTCATCTGTTTTGGAGACGCAAAGAGATAATTTTTTTTTTATATGATTCTTTAAAAAAAATCTATGGGGGTCAGTTTTGGTGGTTGCGATTTGATGAGAATGTAAACTTTTAAGAGCCACTCATTGACGCTATGAGGATGAGGTCCAGCATGAAATCCAAAATAAACAGTAAATGCTTTCTTTCTTTCTTTGGGTCGAGAACAGAAAATCCGAGCTGCGATTCGAGCCTGTGGTGTCTGTTTATTTTTTATTTGCTTGTTTTGGCCTAAATTTCTCCCTCTAACCATCTGTTTCAGGTGAAAAAGTGAACTGCTCAGTCAACGAAGGAGTGTTAGAGTCACTCTCAATCACAACTTTAGAATTACAAATCAAAGCATTCAGATAATTAAGTGCAAAATGAATCCATTATCCCATTAAGATTGCGAATGGTGCGTCTGCGTGCCAAAATGGATTATTATTCTCCTGAGGATGTTAATCAGTGACCATATCAAAAAATGCAATGCAAGAAATGAAATATCATACTGCAATTAAGAAAAGATAACTATAAAGTCTAAGAACTTATTTAAAAAAGGGGAGAAACTGTATTTGAAAGCCTCATCATTCTTTTTAGCCAACGGTTTTCCAGCCGTCATCCCTGGAGAGACATTATTAATATGCCTTGTTTGCAACCATGTCTCCAACAGAAAAACAATTCTGCAGGCCCATGTGGCTGCTCTCATCCTAATTAACACTGCAAATATTCATCACATTTAATACGAACACATGGTCCTTTGTCACCGGGCCGGGAATGCATTATGAATATTTTATCTGTACCCTCGATCAGCAGGGAGCACCTTGACAAAAGCAAGGTGAGCTCAAAGAAACTTTCACTTTGTCTTGTGTTCTTCTCCCCGTTCTGTCAGATTCACAGATAGGTTTACTTATTCTTTTAACCTTTTTGGGCAGTGTTTCTATTTTGTATCTGTCATTTCATGTTTTATCTTTCCTCAACTACAAGGGCGCAAGGGAAGTTAGGTACCAGGACAAGTGTCAGCAGAAAGCCATTCCAAGAACCACCGAACACATGTAACGAAGACGCCGACTCGTCCATCACTTCCTCGCACCTTTGAGATCGAACTTCCACCGGGAAGGACCTTTTGCAGCCACTCCGCACCATCCATCACACTTCCCCTGCTGCAAGAAATCGCGTCCACGTCTCGTCGACCAATCAGCTGCATGGCAGCTTCATTTGGCTAAGAGCTCGCTAATGACATCATTTAGCAGCCGTCAGTCAAACCTGAGCATGCCACTCAAGCATTTCGTGGAGAAATCCTGGAGATCTTCCTGGAGAGACGCTTTGTTCGGGCGAATGACAAGGCTGTAATCATGGAATAATGACTTTCCTGACAAGTCCCTGAAAGCAATCAAATATCCAATCTCACTTGGCGATAATTGAACCCGGTTACTAGAGGGCGTCACGACGGCAGGCAACACATGCGGGATGCAGCACAAGGGAAGGAAGACATGCCCATAATAATGCAAAGTCATTCCAAAAATATTTTTCAACTGATAGCAAAGTGAAAGTGGGGAAATAAAGAGGGGAAAAACATTTTCCTGCATGGATAAAATTCTTCTTCTTCATTTCCTTCCAATTCTACTTAAAATCAAGATCTTTCTTTGCAAGAAAAAAGTGGAAATGTAGCACTCCCATCCATTA